AAAAAAAAAAAAAAAAAAAAAAAAAAAAAAAGATCCAACTAGGGATAGAAATAAATGGAGAAAAGAAATGAGACATTTTGAGTCAGTCTCACTAATTGTAGAGATTCTACAATCAAGAAATACAGAGAACTTTCAGGCTCCATTATGGCCCCTCACTAACATGACAGAAAAAATAAAATGAACTCAAAGATTTTGCACTTCAAGTCTCATACAAGTTCAGGAGCTGCATTCTACTCTGAAGTTCCATTGCATAACAAAAGCTATTGGCCAAAAGAAAAATAAGTGCAATAGATAAATCCTTATATGACGATGACATGGTGACTTCATCTTGTAATTCTCAAGTGCACAACCAAGTAATAATCTACACGAAGAAAACCTAGAGGACTATGCATACTTGTGTTTCCATGCAGGATCAGTATGAAAAAAATAAAGGCAAAAGTCTAACCTCTACAAAAGCTGGATGCATACACCTTAGGAATCCCAAAAGGGCAGATCTTATAGAATACTGAATGCTGGCAGCATGACGCCCCCTTACCATCTCAAAACTTGGAACCAGTTCCAGCAGTGCCGATAGAATGTGACCATAATGAACTGGTCTTTTCCTTGCTATAGCTGCTAAACTGTCAAGCAGAAGAGCAATTGATTTGAAAGAGGAAGATAGATTGCAAATATCAAAAGTTGCAGCAGTGAAGGGAAAGTTTAAGCAAACAATTCAAGAAAGGAAAGAAAAGCTGTAAACAAAGTGAATTGCAATTATGTAATTGTAGTAGATGTCGAAAAAAATCATAAGACAAAAGGCATAATTGAACATACACAAAACTATTCTAAATTCAAATAGAAAAAAGTAACGAACAGACACATGAATTTGACTATAATCAAATTAAAATCATCTATGTCACATCTCAACATAATTCCATGGAAAGTGCTAGAAAGCTATAACCTACAGATAAACTACACTAATTACAGACCATTTCCTCAAGACGATTATTAATACAGAATAATCACAAAAGCTGAAGTTTAAGAACCACAACTATGTTTGGATAAAGTTTATTTCGTGATGCATACACTTAATCTCAAGGATCTTACCAAGTAACCAAACAAGTAAAGAGCTATGCATGATACTAACTTGTAAAAATCTTGGATAATGATGAAATGAAGAAAACTATCAATGCCACATAAAGTGTGTTTCTATAGATTCTTTAGCTTTGGGTTTCACTTAATAATTTAAATAGACAACTTTTAATCTTGTCAAACAAGTCGAGTAAAATAATTTTGACGAGCAAGGCAATAGTATAGTACAAATAGTATATCCAGAAAGGAAAACACGCCTAGAATGGGAAAAGATGATAGGGAAGAATAGCAGAAGGTAACATAGCAAAGAACAAGGAGAGGAGAAATTTAGAATCAGATATGTCATTTGACTTGGAGAAAAAACAATTTCTTATTGAATTACACTCAGCAAAGCCTTTTGACGTCAATCACTCAAGAAATCAAGCTTAAAATAACAATTGCATCAGAGCATCTCCAGGATTCAAAAACTGTAAGTTAGATCAGGCAAATGGAACTGAGAAGTTCAGCTAAAATAGTGAAGTTTCCAACAATTAATGACAAATTTTTAGGTAATTATGCTAATAGAATCAAAAACCATTATCCCAGTCACCATCAACAAAGGGCAACAGTTTCAGAGCTACACAATGTTCAAACGACGTGGAACAGCAAAACCATGTGTCACATGCCAAGTAACATATACATCCAAATTTCCTTCAACAAGAGCTGCATTTCATAAATATTAACAAAAACTGTTTTCTTTTTTTCTTTTCATTGCATATATGAAAAGTTTCGCTTTTTTTTTTTTTTTTTGTTAAAAAAGAACTGTTTTTTTAAAGAAGGTAAAAAAACTTTCCTGAAGAAGGATGAGGATTTCTCCATCAGCATTAATGGTCGAAGCAACAGTATTCATCCATTAACACTCATTAATGTTCACACACAAAAGGATACAATTAAAAACCATTCTCAACTATTAATAAACTAACATATTATTTGCAAATAATCCTACCCATGTCACAAAACAGAATCGTTTTTCTTTAAGCATGACCTCCTATCTGATTTTAAGTAGGAAAATTGATAAACATGATCTATGAGCAAATTCATGCTCTCGTCATATGATTCAGAACAGGCTAAACCCTTTCTTTCACTGCTGCTCTGGATAAAATAATACAGACCGGCACACTCTCTATCATCCTTTCCTTCATGTTCATGATATCCCACACATAACAATTAATTCCGGCTCAAAAATAATAAAGCATTTCAAAGAAAAAGACTATCATAGTTCTGAAATGGATTGGCATGCTAATGAAATTTCATTTTCAATCTTTGCAATACTTCCGACATAACTACAAATGAAACAACTACCACAGTGAGATTAAATCAACAACTTGATTGAATCCTGCTGTTGGAAACACTCGTAAGTGCAAGTCCAAAAATCACTTGCATTGCATAAGAATTCCCAAGGAAATGCAGAAGTAGATCGTTTTATTTCTTTATCTTTGGCAATTCAATTAGTTACAAAAGTTATAAATAACACGATGGTAACCAGAGACATGTAGGACTACATTTCACTGCCTATATCTTCCACGATTTCAGTTATAAAAACAGAAAGAAAGGCAGAATACTAAAAGCTCACACATCAAACAACCAAATAACCCGAAAAAAAATCAGATTTCAAGTACAAGCATAGAAGCCTGAGAAAAAACGTGTCCACACCAAGCCTGGGAGGGAAGCTAAAATTCAGTTTTACCAAAAGCAGTCAAATCTGCAGAGGGGGGCTTTGGAACCCCAGGCCAAATAACATAAAATATTTGTCAAGGGAAAGCAGGGAGCATCCAGAGGCAGTCAAGGGGTTTCTAAACGATTTCCCCCATAAGGTTACTAAAAGGAAAGCTTCCAAAAAGAACACAATGGCCATAGAAATAAATATCAGATCCAGAAAGTTAGACACAGATAACACGTCACTTTTCCCGGCAACTACTCCTACAGTTTCTGAATCCACAAAAATACAGCATGAGAACAACTTTATCAACTGAATTATTTAAGCCACAACAGTTGCAATAAAAGCCAAGTGTCTACAAACTTCCATCCTAATTAACACGACTGCAGATTAACTCTTCGTCACCTGACGTAATAGATGGAGAACTTCACCATTCATCAAAGATTAGAATGGTCGACAGAATTTCTTAGTTCATTTTCTCAAATGTACTCCATTTCCAGTTTCACAGATAAGGTAAGTCATACAACAAATGTTTTGATTTCCAAGTTCAATACTATAATTTCGCTCAACAATATACGCGGCAGCGTTCGATATCCAACTTGTGGATTCAGTCAAACATCATAAAACCAAAAAATTAAATTAACCAATATAGGCAACATAATTCCATTCAGACAGGTGATTCAAATAAGAAGCTAACAATTTTCAACCGAGAGGTGTCAAAATTACTCAGAAATAAATACTTCAAGGTAGGAATACAAGAAAGGCAAAGATCAGAGTATCATAATTTGTTACTTGAAAAATCGTTGGAAAAGTATGACAAGCTAACACCAGAAAAAACCTTAATCGTTGCAACAGCAGTTCAAAATATGACATTGGTTTTCCGAAATTCAGTAAGATTTTTGTTATACCTTTAAGATCAAAACACCAACAATCCTGCAAACAAGTTTGTTTTATTTCCATATCCAAACTAGAACGATAAAGAAATGGTTTTCATGTATGGACCTCAGGTAAAATGACAAGCAGAAATTCCAAACAGACATAACTTCAAGTACACATCCAGGAAGCCAATTTCCTATAATTCTCTCTTCATATCTACTTTTTTGTACAACTTATGTTGCATATACTTATATATTTTTGGATCCTTGACTGCATTTGGTGATTCAGGAAAAAACTATGGTTTGAAATATGTAATTTAAAGAGGAAAAGAAAGAGCCTTAAGAATGATAGCAGAAAGTAACTGCTAATTAAGGAAAACGTGAAATAAAGGTTTTATCTGCAATGATCAAGTTTTTCTTATAGAAATTAATGGAATTCAGCAAAATTCTTGATGATGGAAGAAAGATTTATTAAATTAATTTCCAGTATCAAAATCCTGGATGCTTTACAACCAGCCAGTATCAAGACTCAACTCCACTCATTTGATGGACGAAATCAGACCATATAAGCTTACCGTTAGATAGATCGTCAACATTCTCTAAGTTGGGTTTGGAACTGCTGTCAGAAATCACTTAAAAAGCTGAACCACAAAAGTCATAGTAATCTGGTTGAATTAAAAGTCAAGCCCTCAGAATCCAGGTAGTTGCTATTATAGCTTACGCAAGTAAACTGCTTGATATATTATAACGCCATTGCTAAATAGTTAAAAAATGATGAAAATCTTGTATCAAATAAATTAAAAACATAAGCGAGGCCATCTTTTTACAACAAGGACATCTATATAATTGGTTTGGTAAACAAAAGAGCAGAACAGAACAAATTTTAATTATTACAAGTGAACCATATATGCTACTGAGTAAGCAGATGTACTTAAGAAAAGCAGGTTAAAAGAAATACGCAAAACTTCAAACCATATTAAGCCAAGAAAACAGGCATAAGATAAAGAACGAAAATAGAAAACAACTTGATGCTAAAACGTTAGACATTGCTGGTCAAAATGAAATACTTTATTATCTCAAATAAAATGTGTATCACTGTCAATAGAAGTATACATTTTCAATTAATCGCTATAAGTCGCTGTATGCACAGAGAGCATAGGAAACTGTGATGAATGGTTTCTTTAACAGTTTGCAATGTATAAACTTCACTGATTCACCTTCCATCCCATTCACATAAGGTAATCATTGCACCAGTTGTCCATTCCTATCCCTGGCCACTGGTGCTCCGAAGTACCCAAACAATTTTGCAGTCTAACACCATCTAGCTTTGCTACTCCATTTTCTGAATCATCAATGAAGTATTATCCAATGCCACTACATCCATTTAACTGAGCTTGTCAGCATGCAGCACTGAACGTCACAAACAAGCAGCTGAACTTGTTAAATGACCTGATCCAGGCTTCAATTGTCCCTTCACAATTTTCAAGATAGTAATGACAAGGGCAAAATAGAGGTCACTGCTATGTGCTAAAGTTTTGAGGCCCCCACCAATCTGATATAATATGTGGCATGTGGATTAAGAACATAGTTATGTACATACCCCCAAACGTTCAGGCAACAAAGGTGACAAACGAACATTGAACAGTACAGGCAATCATTCAGCCCAAATTAAATGCAATAACCCTACACAGTTAATATAGACACAAGATTGTGATTTAAATTACCGTTAGGTGGACATTTTATAATCATCAAAGCAAGCTAACTAAGTTACTAAGCCAAAATGACATTCACAAAAATTCCATGTACAATTACATCGTTAATAGTTGCGATGAAAAGTTTGGATCACAATATGGGTCCCCATACACCTGCAAAATTTCACCAAACCTCACTGGGATTATGTATGCGACAACACAAGAAGTTCCACAAGGAGCATTTTGTTTACATATCCAAATTTTCCTTCTTATCCACTGATCATCCCCTTAATTTATATTGTGAGCAAACTACAAAGAAAAAAAGTGTAATCATCTCTGGAAGAGAACTTTCATCAAATATACCAATTATCAACAACTCGTTCATAACTCCAATACCCATATAAACACTGGAAAATATTCATGTATAATCACAACTCTCGACTTTCTAAAACTTGGAACGGCCAGAATGTTTACCCAACATGATTTCTTTCTTCATGTTAACCAAATTTTAGGTTCACGCCCTAATAAGGTTAGCTATGTCATGTAGGCAATAAGAAAATTGTATAGGTATTCAAAAAAGATAGAGGCATCAACATTTAAATGAATAGCATCTTTCAACAAAGATCAAGACAACAATTTCCAAGCTAATTTAGTTGTACACACAACAAGAAACTGTGCTGAACACATCAACCCTCTTTTGAGTCAGTGGCATATGAATGTTCAATTCTTTAAACCACATTCATATGAAAAGTAAAAAATAATAATAGTAAACCCCCCTAGGCATCTCCAACCACAATTGCATGCTTCTCCACTCCATTATTCACCCTTTACATGAAAGAGTTATAGAATTCAAGATTATAGAAATTCTCATGCAGTGTTTAAAAATTGGTTCTTTGAAAAGAAAATAAGAAATCCTATCATTTGCAGAAACATTGGCCAAAATATGGGAACATAGTGAGCAAAAGAAAACCTTCAAAGATGAAAGTACGGAAGTTCCGAGTATTTAGGACACGGACAAATAAAGCTAATAGAAAACTAAGAGTTTTAGGGCTTGCATTGGTGCTTGATGGTATTGGGGTTGGTGGTTTCATTCTTTAAGTTGTTGCAACTATCATTGTGACAATTAGTGAAATTCTTGTTTCCATTTTTATTGAACCAATAAAAACTTATATGTTCTTTGTTTCAAAATCCAATCTGCACGTCCAATAATATCTCTTTTTGATGAAAAGGCACACCACAATTTCATTTAGACAAATGAAAGAACAAACCATATCAAATGATAGCCCAACAACAAAGAATACACATCTAATAATATTATTGCCAATACACATAACAAGATGCATACACGAGCAAAAAAATGACAGCAATAAATGATACTTTTTTAATACTCTATGTTTTATCTTTTAAGAAGTATTGACATGTATCATATCAACATCATGACTAATGCTAGAAAGGGAGAACATAAAGATCCAACAAATAATTAATAGACTAGAAGAAGCAAAAAGTCTATAAAAATCAAATCATATACTTCAAAATGATAATGTAGTAGGACATATCAGAAAGAGTGGCACATTTCAGACTGCACATTTCAGACTGCGCAAGAAATTGAATCAACCAATAAAATAATTTAGAAATTCTATAAAATGATGTGCAAGCAGAAAATACACAAAAAGATTTATTATTTAATAAGCACAAAATATATGAAGATTAGAGAACATTCAAACAATGCACTTGAACAATGTCATAACCTGACTCTTACAAAACTTTGATTGAAAATGAGGAAGAATCCAACACCAATGTCAACGTCACATTACTCTCTCCTAAGAGGAGAAAATAAAAATATATAAAACCACTTAATCCTCCACTCCATATATATGCAGAGCAGCTAAAAGGCCAAAGGAATGCACTCCCTGGTGCGTTCCTTTGTGCCATTGATCTTTTTAATTTTTCTTTCTTACTCACTTTCAGAGTGTGTTTCTTTTGAACTTTTAATATTTTCATAATACCTATAAGAAGTTATTTCTTGTTCAAAAAAATAAAGAAAAGAAAAGGTACAGCATTAACTCAAGATCCTTAAGCAAATGAAAATGAAATATGATGCATTTTTCACAGCGTAGACAGCAGTAACATAAGTAATTCTACTTTTTTCTCTACCTTCTTTTACATGATACTCAACGAAAGTATATGAACATCAAAAGAACACATAGCAACTTGCAACTTATAGATTTCAGGAAAAAAGAGAAGAAACTTGAAATCAATTGTCACACTGCCATCGACTTATAAAATAACCAAATATGAGAGAGAGAGAGAGAGAGAGAGAGAGAGAGAGATATAGCTCACCTACTAACAACTGTTACTGTGTATGTACCCGGAACAGAACTGGTCTGCAACAAATTCAACAGAATACCAAGCATCCTACTAGCTTCTGACATTAACCCGACTGGATCCAAAATAGAAAAACCACCAGCTAGCCATGAAATGTTAAAAACATCCCCATTTCCTGTTACGCAGGAAGGATAAAGTTAAATTCCAAGAAAACAAACCTCCCGAAAAAGTCACTAGCATATAGAACTTAAAAAATGAGAAATGTTACAATGTGAAGCCCAAACAACTTAAAAGCGGACACATGTTTGTGATTTCCAAATGCAATACCTTCTGAGATAGCTTTCTGTGGATCATTTGTGTCAGACGTAAAAAGTAGAACATATGTTTCCAAAAATTTCAAAGCCAGCAACCTCTTCCCGACAGAACCAGGCTACAATAAGACACGTAAGCAGCTTCAAGGTCAGAACAGTTGGTAATTCTTTAAAAAATAATAAATAAATAAAAAAAGAATTATAAAAGATTAGTCAATTATGTATATCATTTTTTATCCCGAAAAAATTCAATTATGTATATCATTTTTTATCCCAAAAAATTCAATCATGTATATCTTCCAATGAGTAAAATAAAATATACAGGGAAGCAAGCCGGAAGAAGGAATATTTTAGTATTACACACACAATATCCACCAAAAATTTCTTGTTTTTTCATTCAGAAACAACCAAATCATTCAATTTACAAAAGTACGATAAAGTTTTGTTAGGAAAAGTCCTCTAAAAGTACAAATTAAGATTTTGTGCATACACAACACACACATGCATAGACATACGGAGAACAAGGGAGAGAAGAGACAAATATTAAAAAAATAAAAGTCAAAACAGTCAGCCTTATCATGAGCCTTTTCTAGTACCAATAACACCATCAGGCCAAGAGAAGAGAAAGAAGAAATAGAGATCCACATTTAAAAATAAAAAAACAATAGCAAAAGTTTTCAATGGCCACAGTTAGGCATTTACATACCTCTATAGCAATTGCCAAAACATCATCTTTAAACTTCAACATTCTCATCCACATTTCTTCAAGCCATCTATCAACTTTACCCCGCTGATGGAACTGTGGAATTCTAAAGTTAGGATTTAATTTCAAATGTTACAAAATAAATTTTAACTAAAGAATACATATAAAACATATGCATACTAATGACATTGATCAAAGACTAGAATAACTGTACATAAATATAACATAATGGTTGACTGGTCTTCTCACACGAGTCAAACCATGTCAGTAAAGCAATGTGAAAATAAAATAAACATAAATCAGAAGGAAAAAAATCAAGCATTAAACATTCAGTAAGCTCAATAATTCCAAAAAAGTTCTTCCACTTTAAGCAAGGAGAGAAAAAGGAGAAACCTGCAATGTCATCTCTCTTAAAGTACCACAAAATAATTTTTGGCCACTAATAATTGATTGTCCTGCTACAACAGAGTCTTCATCCTTTAAAGATGCCAATAAAACTGACATTAACAGAGGAGAATGTTCCATGGCTCTTAATCCAATGTCTTCAATCACCCTGTGGATGGTGCAAAGTGAAAGCATTTAACGCACAAGTAAATAAAAGGAAAATATTTCCAGGAGCTAACATGCTTGAGAAGAGAAGTAAAAGATGTCTTAGGTATACGAAGAAGCCAAGTGGAACTATTGTTGATTGCACATCAAGAAGCAATAAAAAGAATTCACAAGAAACTAACCGGTCCCAATAAGAATACATTGGAAATACTATATTTACCCTAACCTGTATATTTTCAATATGGAAACTTTCACATTGTCATAAAGATAATTACAAGAGAAGAGGACAAGAAATTTCCCAATCAACAAAAAACAACGCAGGTTATTAAAAGGCCCTTTGTTATGCATTAATCGAGTTCAGCGAATAAGTGTCAAATGAAATGAACTTTGACATTATCAAGATCACAAACATGCCTCTCCTGGCTTCAAAAAGACAAACATTACTCTCCAACTAAATTTCCTAAAGCTTTAGTATAGTGACCATAGATTGACAATAAGCTTTAGTATAGCGCCATAGATTGATATCGTTGATCCAAATTTGCTGCCGTAAATAAATGCCCTATACACCAAGTAATACTGACGAGCATGTATGCAAGAAACAAAATTACCATTTAAAGGCAACCAAATTTTTTGCAGATAACATAGCAAATACAACACAAAAGTGCATTATCTCGTATAATGGGAACGATTATCACAAAATTTATCGACTCGCTTCACTCTTTACTAACATTGGACTCGTACTAGGATCTCACTTTCATGTAGATCGCTTCTTGCAAGTATAAGTAGTGTAGGAGATGTTATGATAAGCAAGAATGATCCAAAATACAAACAACAGAGGGAAAAATTAGGGTTCTGAACTCACTCAATCAACAATTTACGTAGTAAGCTCTCGGGGGAGGACTGAAGCTCGACCAAGTAGGAGTAAAGCTCTGCAGCGAAAGATGGCTCGATGGACAGTATAATATCCTTTACCTGCTTCAAAGATGAAATTTTCACCGTTAAATCGCCGTGGTTGTTAGCGGCGGCGAGGAGAGACAGTGCTCTTTCTCTGAGAACTCCAGCCATAGTTGACCTAGAACGAAAAAAGTAACTGTGAAACAAGAATGGTGAGGGTTGAATTAGGGAGGTGTGCTAGGGCTTTGAAGAATCAGAGAATTTTATCCCGGGAAAGAACATGAAACTGACGGGATAAACGAACCGGAGCGGTCAGGTTGCGAGGGAATTTAAGCAAGCAGATGAGACGACGACCTGGCGGAAGGCAGGCACGTGAATATCACGTGGCCCTCCCGCTTTTTATACTTTAGGGTTTTTTTTTTTTTTCCTTTTTTTTTTTTTATAAATAAATCAATTTATGTTTTTCAGGAAAATTTCATTTTGAACTTCGGAAAATCGGAATCTCAGTTAGGGTTAGCAGAGAAGAAGAATCATGGAGGGTTGGGATCCGAATACCAAGTCGACGCTCACCCAAATTCCTCTGCTAACGACTAAAGCCGGGCCGAGAGATGGTGCGGCATGGACGCAGAGGCTGAAGGAGGAGTACAAGGCATTGATCGCCTACACTCAGATGAACAAGTCAAATGATAATGACTGGTTTCGGATCTCAGCTGCTAATCCAGAAGGAACACGATGGATCGGCAAGTGCTGGTACGTGCACAACCTTCTCAAGTACGAATTCGATCTTCAATTCGATATTCCCATCACGTATCCATCCACAGCGCCAGAGCTTGAGCTGCCGGAGCTCGATGGAAAAACTCAGAAGGTTGGAATTTCGTTTGGTTTTCTTATTTTTGAAGAATTTTCTTTATTCGTAGTTGAATTTCGAAACCTTTTTTAACTCGTTGTTGTGAATTGTTTCAGATGTACAGAGGAGGAAAGATCTGCTTAACCATTCATTTCAAGCCTCTCTGGGCGAAAAACAGGTAACTAAGCTTAAATTCTTCTAAATGACGGTAGAGACATAGATCTTGAAGTTCCCGTGTTTGCAGAATTGGTTACTTTCTGGAAAAGGCTTAACGAGTGGATATAAGTTTAACTTCGTGTTTGCATGCAATTGAAAGTTAAAGCAGGCTCAGGTTTAGAGCTAACTTAGAATGCATGCTTGATTCGTTATGCGTCTCACTCAGCAGTCTCTGCCTTTCCCAACTTGCTGACAGTGAACGGCTCATTTTTTTACGTAAACCCATCGGTTCTTTGTAACCGTTCATGCAATTGCTAGCAAATATTGTCTGCTTTAACCTGTTATGTATTGCCACCAGCCTCATAGTTTTAAAACGCCTCTGTTAGGTAGAGGTTTCTACACCCTTGTAAGAAATGTTTTGTTCCCTTCTCTGACTCGATCTCACATTCTTACCCCATCTCACATTCTTACCCCAGTTGTTCTACTTTGGAACCAGATTTGTTCAGAATTTATCTTATAAAAACTTCATCTTACATGAAGCATGTGATCCCTTTTGGATCAGTACGTTTTTTCTATGACCAGTTAAATCAATATGATTAGGATGTTCTTCACGTTTATGTTTCCTTATCCATGCAAGATTCAGCTTCATTCCTGCTAATGGGACCTGTACATGTCCCAAACTCTCATTTCGTTGGTGTCATTTGACTATCTCGTGTCCGTTATTCTTGCGAAGTATTCAAAATCTTCAAAATAGTACTGTTTTGGAGCTGTTGGGCATTACACATTCTTTTTCAGCGTGCCATTGTCATAGCCAACCTTATTTAGTATCTGTTTTGCAGTCCGAGGTTTGGGATTGCTCATGCTCTTTGTTTGGGACTTGCACCGTGGCTTGCTGCTGAGGTTCCAATTCTCGTTGATTCTGGCATGATCAAGCACAAAGACAACACAACATCGACCAGTGAATCTTAACATGTGTATGAACTTGTCATGGCTACAAAAGTGAACTTTTTACCTCATATATTTCCCAATGACTGGAAAATAAACTTATCATCCCCCAAATTTAACTGCGGAGGTTGAAGCCCTCCGGTTACATTTACACAGTCATATATTTACTGGGATTAAGTTCATAAATGTTGATGATGCATCAGCTAATCATGGTCTGTTTATCTTTACCCTTTCTTGGGGTTTATTTATTTACTTTTACCCTTAAAAGCATAGTAGTAGCGGAAATGTGGGGTGCAAATTGTTTTTTTTATGAATGCAGCTGCTTAATACTAGTGAATATTTTTTCAGTGTTGACCAATAATTCGACCAAAACATAGACCATCTACGGTATGTTTATACCAGCTCATCTTTGATGTATTTTGTCAATTTGGGTTTAACATACTGGATCCACCTATTGTATGAGATTCCACATCGATTAGAGAGGGTAATGAGTACCAACGAATCATTCTTTATAATGGTGTGGAAACCTCTCCGTAGTATGAATCATTCTTTGTGGAAATCTCTCCCTCTCCCTAACAGACAAGATAATTTCTGCTAGTGCGGACTTGAGTTACTACCTATTGTCATTTCAAATGATAGTTTAGGATTGTAATGGTATAGAAATTTTATTTGGAATTATTACGAATATGTCATTTCAAATATGTTAATAAACTAATTATTACATTGCATCAGCAAATTCTGCTATAGAAACATAATTTAAAAGCCTATACACTTCATACCCCTCATCCCTCTCCTTTTATTTTTAAAAAAACAAAACACACACAGACATTACAGGTCATGGAAACTGATGCATAATTACTGATATCATCAGCGAAATCACAGGAAAAGTAAGCAGTAACAAGAACTCTTAACCTCCACTCAAATTCTTGGCATTCCATTACAAAGTTGGCCCAGCTGCAAGAATCTCCTCGGCTAATTTACTATCCCTCTGCACCTGGTAAGCATGGATCCCTTCATAATTCTTCTTGAACAGACCACCCAGCTTCAGCAGTGTCTCCTTGTGGGCGTCTTTGTTCGACCACTGTTGTTCAAACAATCAAAAACAAGAATGAAGTTAAACATGGTAGACTGCAACCGAAAATGAAGCTGACCGATGAATTCGTTTTCGACTAACCGTGTTTACTGGATCCAGGATTTCTGCAGGAACTCCCTCAATGGCATCAGGAATCTCAAGGCCAAACACTTCAGTCTTGGTGTAATTCGCCTCCAAAAGCGCTCCCGAGTGGATCGCGTCAATGATCTTCCTCGTGTAAGCTAACTTGATACGGTTACCACTTCCATAGCTGCAAGAATATCAAATTTAGTTCAGGGCCAGGACACTTCAGCTGTAATTTATGAAAATTGAGCTCAGTTCAATGATGATATCGTTAGAAATCACGACTCTCCACAATGGTACGATATTGAAGCTCTCGTGACTTTGCTTTGGGCTTCTCCAAAAGACCTCATACCAATAGAGATGTATTCCTTACTTATAAACCCATGATCATTTCCTAAATTAGCCAATGTGAGACTCCCTCCCAACAATCCTCAACAAGTATGTCATTTCGTACCTTCCTCCGGACCAACCAGTGTTTACGAGCCATCCCGTGGCACCGTGTCTCTTCATCTTCTCAGCTAGCATCGCTGCATACCTAGACGGGTGCAGCATTATGAACGCTGCTCCAAAACAAGCTGAGAATGTCGCCGATGGCTCTTTCACGCCATCCTCAGTTCCAGCCACCTGATTTCGCAACAAGATTTCAGCTCAATAGGATTACATCTTTTAGTATTACGGATTGAATGACTGAGTAATAGATAAATACCAAAGCAGTGTAGCCACTGATAAAATGGTACATGGTCTGAGCCAAGCTCAGCTTGCTCACTGGTGGGAGAACCCCAAATGCATCACAGGCAAGAAGAATCACATTCTTTGGATGAGGACCAACACATGGGATTTTAGCATTCGGTATGTATTCGATGGGATAAGCAGCACGAGTGTTCTCTGAATCGACAAGAACCGAAAGATAATTAAGTCAGTCTGCATAAGTGGCAAATCGGTAATTTATTCATCTCATCACGTCTAACGAATACCTGTAACGGATTTCTCAGAGTAATCAACTTCTCGAGTGTGCTCATCAAACACCACATTCTCAAGAACTACAGCAAAAAACAAGAACAAGCACAACAGGAATAAGCTCCATCAACATAATCAGGTAGCTAACAAACATTAAGTTTGGAGATTACCAGTCCCAAACTTGATAGCGTTCCAAATATCGGGCTCCTTTTCCCTCGACAAGTCAATGCATTTGGCATAGCAACCGCCTTCAATGTTCGAGACACCGTTATCACTCCAACAATGCTCGTCATCCCCAATTAAGTACCTATTATGATCTGTAGACAGCGTGGTCTTTCCAGTACCTGTTAACACGTAATCAAATAACGAGCGATCCTCAAGGCTTGTCCATGGCTTTCGAGAACTCGAATTCAATGAAGTCGTAATAACACATACCCGACAGTCCAAAGAAAAGGGCCACATCTCCATTTTTGCCCATGTTGCAGCCAGAGTGAAGAGAGAGGATCTGGCGCATGGGCATGAGATAATGCATTAAACTAAAGAGGCCCTTCTTCATCTCCCCAGCATATTGAGTACCAAGAATAACCATTTCCTTTCTAGCAAGATTCATGTCTATACTGGTGGAAGAAGTCATATAATGAGTATAACGATTACAAGGAAACTGCCCAGCGTTGTATATCGTGAAATCTGGAGTACCGAAGTCCTCGAGCTCTTCGGCAGTCGGTCGAATGCACCTGCCATCAAACAAGTATGAATTTGGGAGTTACTACAAAGTTGAATGTATTTCCAATTGTTGTTACATGACGTGATGATGATGATTACTTACATGTTGTGCATGAACAAGGAATGATAAGCTCGGGCCGAGACGATACGGACTTTGATTCTGTGTTCGGGGTCCCAGTTCAGAAACTGATCATTCACAAATACCTGGAAAAAGAGTCAAACGAGTTATTATTACCGAAAGTAAATAACTATGATGTAAATATAACTCAAACATAGCTCAATGACGATTCTCTATATCTTAAAGGTCAGAATTCCCACGTAACAACTACAATGCAGTTGAAACTATATTGAACTCAGATTTCTTGAAAACTCGAATTAATTTGATTAATATTCAATTTTGAACTTCATGAAATTGAACCAATTGTTCAAAATGATTGAAACTGTCCAGTTTGGTCAGATTGATCATCTTTTTTTTTTTTTTTCTCTTTTAAGAAAATTTCGACTTTTAACTCCTGAACGAAAATTTCAACAGAATCCTGACAAGGAAAGGTAAAATTAACTAGAAGACAAACTCCTCGTGTGCAAGATGATTGTTGGATGAAAGTCACAACGACTAATTTAGGGAATCATCATGAGTTTATAATTAAGGAATACTCTCCTTATTGGTACAAGACATTTTGAGTAAGTACAAAGCAAAGTCACAAAAGTTTATGCTCAAAATGGACAATATCATATCATTGGGAATAGTCGTTCCAAAATACTCTTTAAAGTGCTACGCTTTTTAAAAATACTTATTTTTTAAAAAAAATTATTAAAAAATTATAGATATTTTATTAGTATACGACCAGAAATATATTTTGTCTGTTCCTTGTAATGGCTACAAAATTAAAATATATTAAGATCTCCGAAAATTAAGGAACGGATAATTACGTCAACAAGACACTGAAATAATGGACCAAACACGTTACCAGTTTCCGTGTTATTTTATATATTAATTAATACGATAAAATATCCATAGTGGACTTTAATCGTCACTGCCACCTCATTAAATTACAAAATTGGGCACCGCACTTCTCCACAAAACACTTCCACGTAATCACACTCTGTCATTTAAAGGTCAACTAAACTAATTGCTCTTAAATAATTAATTATTTATGACTTTTTGTTAAATAATAAATATATAAAATTAATATAACTTTCTTTTTTGTCAAAGAGGGTGCTAATTAAAATAAATTTTAAATCCATATTATTTCTTATTTTATTTTCATTTCCTACCATCTAAATGCATATTATTTTAATTTTTTAAACAAATAAAAATTAAAATAATTAACACGATTTAAAATTAAAAAATATTTTACCTTATCCAGAGAGTTCAAGTAATCGACGGCTCTCTCTCTATTGATTAAGAAAGTATGTTCATCCATCTCAATATTAGGCGACCCCCTACAACACAGAAATCAAAATTTTCATTAATGTCGAAACGACGACGTTTGATTAACCATTTTCATTATTTATTTTAATTTCGATTAATTAGAGGGAATAATTATCACTTACTTTCCCCACCAAAGCTCGTCCTCTGTGGTCTCATCTTTAACGACGCGTTTGTCTCTAGGCGACCGTCCCGTTTTGGCTCCAGAAAGTGTGGCCAACGCGCCTGTGGCCGTTATGAACGAACCTTTCTCGAACTTGATGGCTTGCTCGTAAAGCTCTGTTTTATTTAAACTAAATCAGAACCGTTCGTATTCATCTGAAAAAATGGACGGCTTAGAAATGTTACCGGCGGGGGAGAGGTTGTAAAGGATGTGGGTGAACTTGAGAGCACTATCACTCAAATTCAAAATGGGCTCGCCAAAATGGTGATGGTCCAGTACTGTTCCTTTATGGGCTTCGGCCTTTTTTTCTGGATCGCCTCTCACAATCTTTGGCCCAGTTTCCCTAGTCAGCGACGCCAGCGAGGCACTGCCACAAACAAATCCCACAACCGTCACGTCAATCTCATTTCACCGCCACAACTCACGGTTTCCCCGCCGTGATAACTACTTACCTGATCGACTTGAGTTGCTGCTTTTGCCGCTCCGCCTCCGATACAGGTGAAAAGACGCCGTGAGCGTCCGTCAATGGAGTGGTCGGCGTCGATCGTTTCTTCTGCAGAGAGTGAAGATGCTCCAGCGTTCGAGCTCTCATCGGCGTCGTACTGTCGTCATGACATATATCTCTCTCTGTTTCCGCCGCGGTTCTCTCCGTATGAATCTTCGGTAATCCTCTCCGCCCTGTCTCCGCTTCTCCGCCGCTCACGAAACTAAATTCGCCGTTATCTTTCCCGTCATTCGCCATTATCGTATCCTCTGTAACTCAAATCACACTGAATCAACGATTGAATTCATCGATTACACCTAAAAATCTCTAATCGTAAAGAAAATACGAAAACCTAGAAAGAAAGAAACAGAGTCCTTACCGGAGACTTATCGCCGGAAAACGGGAGAGGCTTGAAATCCGAAAGATCGATGAATGAGAAAATGGCTACAAAACCGTATTTATAAGTTAATTTCGGGCTTCGAGGAGAGGGAAAAATAAACAATCTCTATGAGAGTCAGAGACGGGACCAAAACAATTCCAAAAGTCGCCGCTTAACCACGATGTTTAACCCGTGGTTTAATCCAACCATGAACCGTGGTTAACTAAAATTCCTTATTTATTTATTTAAATTTAATTTACAAACGGATATTACAATTTTTTTAACATAATAAAAAAATTAATTTCTGGCACAGATCATTATCATTAAAATATTTAGAGTACAAAAGAAATTAAATATTAAATATAAGAATATTAATATTTATTTTCCAATTATGTGCACCTTTTTCCGTTCTTTTAAATTAGTATTTAATTTGTCAATTTTTTTATTATTTATTTTTCCTTTTTGAAAGAAGCAATAGGCTAACTTTGAAACTAGGCTCGTATATTTATGTGAAAGCAAGATGTGAATGCCACCTCAAAGCCTCAGCCTCCATTTCTAAAAGGCTGTCTTAATAAAGTAATTTTTTATTCGTATAAATCACAATAAATGGGCAATTTTGGAAAATAAAGTTATAAAATTTGTATTTTTTAATAATTATAATATTTAGCTTACATCCGACGGTGTAAAACTGTCGATCACAACGGTCTCTCGAATAAATATATTTTATTTTTGAAAGTCAATAAAAGAGAGCTGGAGAATTAATATCCAGGTGGCGGCAATATATCGCCACGTCGGATGTGGATATACCATTAAAATTCGAAATGAAGGGTCAAATGGTCAATTCATAGCTGGTTGGCTCTCAATGGAAACTGGAACGTCACACATTGGCTGCGTTTCAGTGCTGCTATTAAATTAAATCATTGATTCACCAACTCTTTTTTTTTTTTTTTTTTTTAATGATAAATATTGTGTTTGGTTTAAAGGAAATTATTAATATATAATTTCCCTTTCATTCATTGTTTTTTTCTTACATTTAATTAATTTTCTAAAGCCCCCAAAGAAAAAGTTGAATCTATGAAAAAGACGATTTTGATTTAAATTCCCATTTTGCTTTCTCGTCCTCTTCGATCGTGCACTCGTGTTCCCTCTCATGTGACGACCCTCGTGAAGATGTCTTCCATATTTAAATTTTAAAAACATATTTCTAAAAAACTATGTATTCACGCTATTAATGAGAATGATTGTTTATGTCATCATTATTCAAAAAAAGAAAAAAAAAACACTTGAGTATCCAAATAAGTTGCTGATGTGACCCCGACGTTGACTGAGCATACATTGCCCGGGAGCCAAACTCCTTTTGGGTGTTGGTTGCTGGTCATACGCATCGAAATCATCGAATTTAAACCTCCCTCACAAACGTCGAAAAATATCACCCGTCACTCAGTATTTCACGCGATTTTGGAATTAAAATAGCTATTAGGAAGAAAGGCCCAGTAAACCAATCACAAATTGGGCCCATAATAAATCAATGGCCCACGAGAGCAGAAAAGGCCCATATTAATCAAATCTAGCCCAAGAAGCCCGTTGACTTTTTACGAGAAACAATTCATTTTAAATTTATCATTTCACATTTCGTAATAAAATATAAGTGGTCTACGATTAAATATTATTTAAATGGGTTAAGAATAAGAAATATAAATAAAATATAAATAATTCATAAGCTTTAAAATAGGATACAAGCTAGCAACTAATATCTGAAAATATAAATTAATAAAATATTTAAAATATATCCCATAAATAATATATTCTCCCATGTCTATTTTAAAATATTTTATTTTAATTATCAATATTTACATACAAAAATATAATATAATAAATAAAAAAAGCATGCACAAGAAACGGCACGTGTAAAGTACACGTACACCCCCACTAAAATCTGCCCACGCGTGCGACTTCGGACTTCATTCACCGTATTCCGTTCAACTTCCACTTTCCCTCCCACGTCATTCCCACGCGGCTCCACGTTGGGCTGGATTTTTTAATGGGCCCACGGCCCATTAGTTCCATTTCTAGTTTCCTACGGTCCCACGCTTCCTATTTATTAATTTAATAAAAAAAATACACCTAATTTTTATATTTTATATTTTATCTACAAAATAGGATAAACTTTCCAAAATTTTAATAATACTAAGTTTAAAAAATAATAAAAAATACCCTTATTTTAAAAAATTAAAAAATATATTAATCGCTAATTTTTTTTTTAAAGGAAATTTTTAATCTAAAAAAGAAAAATAAAAAACTTCAAAATTACCTTAAAATTATTTTTACTTTTACAACCATGTTTTAAAAATATAAAGAGATATATAAATTTTAATATTATTTATATTTGTTTTAAAAAAGAGAATTAATTAAATTTTGTTGTTTGTCGAATAAGAAAATATATGGAAGTGACTAACTCACAAAACAGAGACAAAAAATATGAACATTGCTAGAAAATCCCAAAGGAATAATCGAATTAAAATTCACTTTAATATAAATAAATAAATAAATACACGTACACGCAGAGAAAGTTACAAAAACGGCACTAACTTAAAGACAGAGCTCCAGAAGAATCCGGAATACTCCTTGAAGGCTTCTGTTCTTCAACCACCACCAACGCCGCCGCACACGGCGGACATGCCATTGCTATAAACCTCGGAACCTCGTCGCCGGGCATCAAAACCGACAAGCTCTGCGCCGGAGTCTCCTTCCATATCTTCTAATTCCCAAAATATAAATAAAATCAAATAATTCTCAGATTTATAAGTGATTTTATTCAATTTCGCCATAAATCTTTTTTTTTTTTTTTTGAAGTAGAAGGAACAAAACGCACCGTATGGACCGGGGAAATTTTGTCGGGCGGCGAGAAGGCGGTGTTTACCGGCAGAAGGGGAGGATAGCGGTGGCCGATAAGTGATCGGAGCTTTTCCCAGTGAAGGCAACAAGAAAAAAAACAACACATGCAGAGCAAAAATGTGAACAAAAGAACCAAACCAACCGGAAGGCTCAGAGGGACCGGATCCTGTGCTTCGCCGTAATCATACTCCATCTTTGAAGCTCTCCAGTTTTCTGTGCAGAATTTGTTGATGAGGAGCTGGGACAATTAAATTTATGGACAAAAATATTTATTTAACTAAATTATAAAAATAAAACATGTTTTAAAATAATATATATTAAAAATAAATACTAAAACAAGAAAAGGCATACGTGTAAGTAGTATTCACATATTAAATTAAAAATAAAGGGACATTAATTATTCCAAAGTTTAATTTATAATTAATATTTGAGACAAAATTCTTGCTTGTGTTGATGATGCTACCAGTTGAAATGAAAGCTTTATTAATTTATTAATTTATTAAATAAAGGAAAGAAAAAATTTTATTATTAAAATGTTAATATCTCTCCGAACCCATCCTTATTATAAAATACTTGTAATTAATTTTATGGTGATCGAAGCGATAATTTCTTATGAAATTTATAGTAATTTTATAATTAAAAAATATATTATGCATTTATGATTTTTTATTTTTATTAAATAAGCTTTTAGAGTAATTTTATAATTAAAATTCTATTTTCTAATAAGACAATTCTATTTAAGGGAGAGTTTTTAATATCCTTGGAAAAACATTATCCTTTATTTACTTTTTCTCCTTAATTTACAGGTCATTTTTTTCATGTATCAAACCATGCAAATAAATAAATAAGATAATCTAAAATAATCCTCGTACTATGATTGGAAGAACGTTGTGATTTGGGTCCGGATTATATGACATGGCACTCATGGATGTCTAATGACTGGCATGCTATTCTCGTCGTGTCGGATTACACACGACACGTCATAACAGTACCGCAATTTTTGGATTATGGGTTTAAATCAATTTAAAATTCTACCATAATTATCTTTTAAATTTTCACAAATTTACCAAACTATATTAAAACGCTTTAGTCTGTCATCAATTAAATTTAATATTTTTAAAAGAGAAAAATAAAATTTTAAAATGTTTGTAATATAAGAGACTAAATTTAAATTAATCTTAAAAAAAAAAAAAAAATCCAAGACGTCCCAACCTTGTCTCATGGGCCTGAATATGCTTAATGGGCTTATGGCCCAAATCCGGTACCGCAGGACTGGAAAATCGGCCCGTTTCAGCCATGAATGTTCAAAACTTTCACAATAAATTTTAAATTTTAATTACATAAAATTAATATTTAAAATTATTAAAATTTTAAAAAAGTGCTTTAATTAAATTAATTTTATATTAAGGGTATCATTTTTCAAATTATTTTAAAAACTATATGAAGGATTAATGTTTAATGAAGTAAATGTGGGTATAAAACTAAAATTCTAGAAAACATAGGAAGATATACTTTAAAGTTAGATTCTAAACCCGGACTTAGCTAGTGTTCGACTATAAGCTTGCCTCTGATCGCCACTGTAAGCTGCACCGCCCCTTCAGTGCAGCCCGACACCGCCCACCACGACGCTGACAAGCTATGAACTTTATACATTCTCTCCCCTCATAAGTCTTGATTATGTTCGTAAACTAAGCTTATGTTATTCCATGATTTTAAAATATTTAGTATTAATATTGATATTGTTTTTCTTAGGTTATACGAGGATCGATATGAAGAAGACGAGAATTAACAAAGCTTCATTTCTATATTATCTTGGTTTGTTTTTGTCATTTTATTTTTATTTTACACCTCAACATAGTACAAACAAATTTAATTCAGTGTAAATTTTTATTTCTATTATTTTACTAGATTGTAGTAGTCAAAGTTTATTGCTAGTAGATATTGTCCGTTTTAGCTCGTTTTGTATCGTCGTTAACCTCACAGTTTTGAATTGCATATGCTAGGGAGAAGTTTCCAAGTACTTAGGAATGCTTCATTCTCCTTTTCAATCAACGTGAGATCTCACATAAAAACAACACCAAATTCTACACGATCAACTCTATGAAATTTAAGGAATGATCGAAATGAATAAAATAAAATAAATAAGTGGAAAAAAATAAGTAAATAAAAATGACGTAGTAGAACTCATATTCCAAATAAATGAAAACGTGATTAAAATGGTCTCGGTCACTCTTCGAGATGGAATGGAAGAGGGGAGGAGATTCTCAAACGAGGAAAATGATCCAATGACTTCAAAAGAATTAAACGAGGAGTCGTACGAGGTGAAAGTCTCATGTACGGTCATGTCGAGTGGCAATAAGGACGAGTTATCTGTCAATTTAATTGTATTAATTTTTCATAAATAGTTGACAATTGAAACCGACAAAAAGGGTAATGCATACTTGAGCCAGCATCGAGAAGTCTACGTTGATCCTTACCATATGCTATGACATAGGCTCTCTCTCGCACGAGAGGGTCGATATTATTAAACGCTCAAACCTAATTATATCCAAATTATTTATTTTCATTGAAACCAATAAATTATGGGAATTTAAAATCAAACAAATTTAGGATTAAAATCATTAGCTAACTATTTCCTTCGCATTCAAATGATTTAAATCTTCAAAAAAACGACAGCGCCATCTGAAATCTGAGCAGCACAGACCACAGACCACAGCTGGCCATTCAAAAACATGCCTGAAACCTGAATAATGAATCTCGTTGATTCCGAGGATTCCCCTAAACAACACTCTTCACCCATCGCTTTCAATAAGAAATGAAGCATCGTAAGATTTTGTACTAATCTCAGCCGTTCATCACTCCACTTGTGTCACATGATCAAAACCACCCAAATAATAATAATAATCATATCATTTTTATTTATTTATTTGTTTTTTTTTTCTTTTTATTTTATGATATGACAATCATTTGCTGATTTAAAGACTATTAAATTCAATACACATTTATTATTGAAAAAAAAAAAGACCAATTAAATTAACTCTTCCTAGTTTCCAAATAGGATGGTTCTACAGACATCTTCCTCCATATCCAGCATTTTCAAATAATGCTTGTTTTACTTCTTCTATCGGTCTCCGTTCCGTTCCCTGTTTCATCGAACACGAAGACTAATTAGCTTTAGAATTCAAATAAATGTTTTCACTTACGAATACTAATACCAATCTACGAGCTATAGTTTATGATAAAAAACGATGTTTCGTTTACGCTCGAGCTAAAGAAAAACCAACTTTGACATAGCTCGATTAGTTAAAAGAATTTGATTTATACGTGCCTCGGAACAAGAGGCTTGAATTGCGAAGTCATTGAAGCAGCTAATGACACATTGCTGAATATCAAGTCCCAAAGCTTCAAGAGTGTGCACTGTTGACAACAACAATCCAGGCTTAGCCGCACAGCAAATCTCAATCCGAGTGTCACCTTCTCTCCTTTCCACACTAAACTGCATTAATCAAACACAAATCCAAAATTAAAACGCTAATCAAAGCCTTAATCACCCTTAATCTCCCCTTAATTACCTTAGGTGAATTTCTGACCAAATATTCACTCGGCTTCTCAGCTCTCAAAATCCCCATAGACTCCAATTTACTCGGATTCGCCATTTCAATTTCCCTTTGCAAATGGTTGATTTTCTCGAGCAGTTCCTTCACGTAATCGATTGAATCCGCAAGAATCGCAGTTCTATCCATCTAATTAAAAAATAAAATGTGAATATTGACTAAAACCATCTATAAATTATAATATAATATATATGGTGAACTATAATTCATGACTGAATATGGGTTTTTGAGGACTAAGCAATATGGCCACGGCAACTTGTAGCTCAACGGTCTGAATATGCGGACAAATGGTGAGCCTTCCTTTCTTGCAGCGGAGGGAGAGTAAGCAAGCAACCTTGCTTGCATTCTTCTTCTTCATTTTTTTTTTTTTTTGAATTAATTAATTATTTAAAATACCTTGCTGATTTTGGGGACGATGGATCGGAGCATGGAGAGGCGATCATTAAGCCGCTTCCTCCGCCGTCTCTCCGCCATGAGATTCTTCGACGGCTTCCCCTGAAGTTTCTTACTCGCCGAACTAACGATCTTTTGGCCAAAATCGCACGTGCCACCGGCGTTGAAAACCGGAACAATTTCAGGAGAATAAGCCGGCTCCATTTTACAACTACCCAGAACTTCAAGATTCGGAATCTCATCCTCCTCTTCCATAACCGGACACCTGCCGAAACCCCCCGGCGTAGTCTCGAACGTAGTGTACGACATCGAATCGCCGGTACTCGGAGCCGCCGTGAACTGGCCGTCGGGAAAAGAATAGTCATCTTCCCCGCAGAGAAGATAGCCAAAATCCTGGTGGTCAATAGGTAAAGAAAAGGGGAAAGAAGAAGCATCAGAGCAATCAAAATTCCAGCCATTAGCAGTGGAGATTAGGTCGTTAATTTCAGTGGGCATTGCTAATTCCCAATTAATTTCTCTTCTCAAAGCTTGAAGTTCATCTAACAAACAGTGTTCATTCAACTCCATTTTTTTTTTTTCCTCTGAATAAAATGAATGGTGAAGTTGGAGAATATATAGAGAGCCAGAGGAGTATGAAATTAATTAATTAATTAATTAGTTGCTTAAATCTTGATTAGTGTATGTGGGTTAATAATATTGATGTCTTTTTCACCGAAATCTCTGCAATCAAAGGGAAGGAAGAGAAGTTAATATTTTTTTATATAAATTGGAGAAATTTTGTTGACCAAATGAATTGAGAGATCAGAGACGAAGACCATGTCAGAGAGGGTTCTCTGTATTTTGTATGCCCTAAACAATGAAGACAAAAACGCGAAATTACTTTTTTGCCCTTCCAATATGGTTTTAATTTCATCAATAAAATTTTCAAATGTTTTTATTTTTATTTTAATTCAAAACATTGCATTTTCCCTTATTTTCCAATATTTTAATAATGCTTGCATTTTTTTCATTTGTGATAATTTTTTAATTATTAATTATCGTGAGGTCGAACGTTTTTTTTGTACTCTTTCGGGCTTCAAGGGAGTGGCCCAATGTCTTCGCTGACACTCGTTCCTTTCTCTAATCGATGTGGGACCCCCTCCAAATTCACCTACCGTTAACAAATATTGTTATCTTTGGGCTTTCTTTCAAGGTTTTAAAGTCGTATCTACTAGGGGAAGGTTTTCACACCCTTATAAATGGTGGTTTGTTCTC